AAATAAAAAGGGTTTTCTCCTTCCACTGAGAGATGCCTACCGGTAAACAGCTCACAGATTCAGGTGTCCACCCACTAAGCCTAAAAACAAGAAAAAAAATAAAAAGGGTTTTGTCTTATACTGGCAAAAAAAAAAAAGCTCAAAGATTCATTTTTCCACCCTAAAACAAGAAAAAAATAAGGGTTTTCTCCTTCCACTGAGAGATGCCTACCGGCATTAACAGTAGTTAACAGATTCAGGTGTCCACTCAGATCACTAAACCTATCAACACCTAAGATATTGCAATTGCACTTTGGTTACTATACTTCTGTTCCTTTTACATTGTATATCAGATTTCTCCATAAACCACTGACAATGCATGAAAATCAAGGTGGTACGTCGTCACAACAAAATCTTCATTAAGTCTATAAAATCAACATGGTAATTATATCTGTGTTAAATTATATATGTCACATAACTTACAGAAACTATACTAAATTAAATGAATATTTTAATCATTATATTATGTTCACATATTTTATCAAATATATGTCTATTGATCACTGATGCAGTATTAGCATAATAGTCATTAAATCAATGTTTGAAAAGGGATAACATTCAAAACAGTAAACATTCTTTGAAAGTTTAATTGCCAAAATAATAATAAAAATCAAAATACCTAAAAAAGGCAATACATTGCACAATTCTTATAGAGCAAACGCAGACTAAATACTACCAAATAGCTGCTATATTTAGAAAAAAATTGTGAGTATCAATGAGCCAGAACGCAATAAAGATGAATGAAAAAAGGTCCCATGTGGATTCATCTTCATAGTGTTCTGGTTCATTGATACTGATACTGATTGTCTCTAAATAGTCGCTATTTGGTAGTATTTAGTTTGATTATATTTCATTGTTTTCCTGCGTTTTCTCTAGTATTGTACAAGAAAGTATACACAATTTAATACTTATTCCTTTTATGAAATAAATGCATTTCATTGGGAATTAAAAAAGCAGTACCTTTTCTACAAAAACACAAACCAAAAAATTACATCGTGTTTAGTTGGTGAAGGGTATTTTTCAGTATGAAAGGTATATGGTTTCATTGACATAATAATAATTATATGATGATTAAAAGAGTAAAATTTATGCAGGGATTTTAGATCCATTGTAATGTCAGAAATTCCCAAAACTACTTACCCCATATTAATGAGATTGTGCCTCTACATTATACCACATAAGGTATCTGTTGAGAGAATGAAACAAAGGGAAGCTTTCCAGTCTTGAAACAGGAAAGCTCCCCTTTTGTGTAGTCAAATGTACAAAGACCCCAGCTATAAATGCACAATTGCTGTAACAGCTACCTACACTTGAACATTAAATGCCTGCCAATGCTTAAAGCTCATATCTAAAATAAAATGTCTATATTCACTCTAAGAATTGTTAGCACTATCTACTCAGAGCAATATAATTAAGACAAAAACAATCAAACAGTTGCAAAAACAAACACTGGTCTTCCTCCTTCCACTGTGACCCTGCCTACCGGTAAACAGTTCACAGATTCAGGTATCCACCAACTAAACCTAAAATTAAATCAAAAAGGTTTTCTCCTTCCACTGAGAGCTGCCTGGTAAACATCTCTCAGATTCAGGTGTCCACCCACTAAACCTAAAATTAAATAAAAAAGGTTTTCTCCTTCCA